CTGTTCATCTCAAGCACGCTTCCTCAGAACTGCAAAACACTTTTGCTATCGACCTTTAACCCATTCTTATTCTCGTTTTCCTGTGTTGAAATAGTGCACGAAAAGCTTTTTTGTCTGTATAAGTGGTGTAAAAAGCTTAAAATCTACCAATTTAAGTGCATGAATCAACTACTGATTTCAGTTGACTTGATTTAAAACAGTAAAAAACCGGGCGAGCAAAAGGGTGTCTCAGATTAAGCACCTTATTGTAAAACATGATTATGGACCATCGGTTCAACACGATAAGAAGCATGCAATTTAGAAACGGATTTCATGTCATGTCAAATCCTGGATGGCCGTTGGCAGTTTATTTCTTGCCACTATCCGCCGGTAGGTAGTTGGTTTGAAAAAAACTATATCACAACTTATTTTCAACCCAACCTTTGTCCTCTTCGGAGGCGGATTAGGGCGGACAAAGAACACAAAACTGACTACCCCGATTGGCTTGTTGGGTTCACTTAGAAAGTTTGGCACGTGGATGGAATCAAAATGACAATATGATATATTGTGAATTTCATAGGAAATGTGAAAGATGTCTTAACACCAGACAGTGTTTCGCTGGCAGATCGGAAGTGTGAGTGTGGGGTAAATAAAATCCACCGTGGCACGATGTTATATCACGGAACAAACAGCTACCGACAGGATTATAGTTCTTCCAATATCATGAATCTTGTTCGGAGCTCAGCATATTCGCGATCATGATGATTCTGTGCACGGAACAAAGAAAATATCCTGTGATCCAGGGGGGGGGGGGAGTGTGCAATTTTCAGTTGAGACGTTTTGATTATCTAAGCCCAAAACTCAAACTGCAATGGTTCGTACAAAGTGCAGTCCAGTTGAACGGATGTGTTTAGGAACCTCCAAATCACATTGATATTACCGAGTACATATATATATATATATATATATATATATATATATATATTTGTAAATGAATGACGCATGCATATTTAAAAAATATTCCTTCTACTTAATTCTTTATCCCGATAAGGGAAAATTATAACCTGTACTACTGGGCCGTCTGTCCGACTTGAAGAGAGACCACCAGATAAACATCGAGGTGGTCATCGAGACGACTACAAAGTCACATAATCCGCGGAAGATTTGCCCACTTTGGACGAATGAAGTTCATCCTTGACTTGAACTGACTTGATATCGACAGCGACGGTTGTCAACGTGGAAACTTGTACGAAACATGTATTGTCCTAAGATAGACACAACTGTACAAAAAGTGCTAGTCAATTCAAAATGATATGAACAGCTGTTAAAACGGTTCTTCATCTCGTTCATGCAACATAAAGCGCAATCTTTGTGCCATAAGCATGTTTTGGTTTTATTTGGGCTAAATGCCTGCGACCTTCTGGTTTGTTTTTCCATACGTTTTTGTTGTGGTAAACCAACTGCCCCAATTGTTTTGGAATCCGAAAGAAACGCTAGTGTGGGTATTTGGATCGACGGAACGTGAGCTACAGGTATGGGATGAAGAAATGGCTATTTCCAGAGCAGTTTGCGGCAGTTAAAGCTGTTCCTCCAAGTTGGTCGTGTTGTTCACTGAAATGTCATTTTGCACCATTTTCTGGTGATTCCCTAGTCGTATTTTTGTTGAAACTCTTGAAAGTTGAACCAAATGTTGTCCTGAAGTGGATCCCAATGTGTTTCCGCGCAAGATGGACTGACGGGTCAAAAGTCAGGTTGTGCTCTAGGAAAACGAACCATCGATCGGTAAGACCATCAATCTGACTTATCCTACATGTCACAGTTAACAAATATCATGTGCAGTAATCGGTGGTCAAAACTCGCCATCCAGGGGTTCTTGAGAAGCTGGTTTTACTCATCTGTAATAGATCGGGTCGTTTGTGATGGAAATCATTATTGCGAGTTGGATTCATGACTGGTAATGGGAGATTTCGTGGGCAGGTAACGACTGATCACTGTCAAACCCATCAAGTGTCCCTATTAGGAGAACGTTACAGCTGGTTAAGTCAACTAATACTTGGGATTCACTTCAAAATAAGGAAGATGTAAAAAACGATATTACCAGCTTCACCTGGATTCAAAATTATGTGGACAGTAACATTTCAGTGATGTCGGTTATCAAATGAAATGTACCTGGGTCTACTGGAGGTTTGCTAAGCATTTGCCGATCTCAGACTTCAACGAGTGGACGATTCACTGGTAATTCTTCTGTGAAACTCTAAAAAGTGGCTGCTCTGTGTTGGTATGGGAAACAAGAAGACTGAAGTTGTCTAGAAATTGGTTTCTTCCGAACCACTTTACCACTTGATGGATAAGCTTAAACAACGATGCTGAGATTAGGCGCCAAGCTTTGGCCAAATGAATCAAATTCCCTCGTCAAACAATAAAATTCAGATTTGTTTCACGTTTATTCCGGGATGGACACTGCCAACAATGTTTGCTGCGGCGAACGGTAATTTGAAGCCATGTTAGGCTTTCCAGAACAGGATAAGTAGAATATTCTCTGGAAACACAAACAAAAACACATCACAACTAGGCATGTTAAGCAGATTAGGTTGTGTCCTAAAGATCTGCCTAGCTCTCCTGGATACAACCACTCACAGGCATAGATGAATGTTGCACCCAACGGCCCGCTTGCATTCACACAACAAACATTTATGAATTGATGCCATTTACCCTGATTCTTTCCTTGATATTTCCATATTGTCAGTCTTTTTGTTTTTCATGTGAGTACTGTGCTCATGAATAGTAACTGGAACCATCGTACACAGTGTATATTTATTAGCCATTAAAATTGGACGGAATCACCCGACTTGTCAGCTATTTTCGCTTAAACCAAATAATCAAGTGACACCTCGGAACATTCATATATTTGAACAGTCAATTCAAAAGACAAACACTTCTGAGAGAATTCTTTTCAACCTCTTAACACCTAAGTCCTATGAATATCACTTCAGTCACAGAATTCTCTTCAAAATTTCAGTTTTTTGACTGATTTCATACGTACGTACACGACTCTTGAGCGTGTACGACAAGAACTCCCCCATTCAGTGTATGTATTCCAACTTGAATGTTCATGTTTGTCACCGTATCTAGATGTCCAGGCACAATGTCTATGCCATCATTTCCGTGTGATTGCGGGGCGCGGTAAACATCAGGATTAGGCATCTTCTCAACATGGAAAGGTTTCACACAACCCACAGGGAACAATTTAGCCTATTACTCATAGATCACTCTGAGTCGAAGACTTCTATCTTTCAACTTGGACTATCTAAAGCCTTCTCCAACCTAGATGAGTATTACTTAATGACCAAAACGGCTAAAGGGCAAACAGTTGTTTTCAAAGACTCCTAACCTTGTTCTTACTGATCACCAGCCACGTGAATGCAGCGTGGTTAACAAGATACTAGCTAGGTAATGAGTAGTAAGCTCAAACAAGGGGGCTTCTTTGTGGTGGCACTTTATGTATTTGTACGACGCGGCCGTAGCTTGCGAGCAAACAGCAGGCAAGTACAAGTTATCAAAGTAATGTCAGTGAAATGCATGTACTAGCACGCATTCACCTTAGGTCAAACATGGTTAGTCGATACAAAGTGGGATCAAAGAGTCAACAAACATGGCATGATTAAACATAAACAAGCACAAAGATGATGTCGATCGATTTTCCGTGCAGTAGGCGCGGCTGATTATTCCGAACCCAGCAGGAACCATTCAGACAAATTTCCGTTTTACAGCTACAATCTCATCTGAACCGAATAGAGCCTGCATGGGCGAAGTCCATTTTTAGAATCACTCAATGCTCAAGCGTAAAGATAATTGGGCTAGAAAGTAGGGGATACGCAGACCTGATGAGCGGCAACAACCGCGAAACTAGTCGTATGCTCCCAAAGAAATTTCGTCCTGTCATCCATACACAATACCATACTATTGAAATCAAAAATCTTCCGTTTTGAGTATTTTGCATACTGTGTCACTGACGTACCGTTTTTCTCTCTAGTTCGCTTCGATTTGCTCGCCCAATCCTTCAGGTAGTTGTAGCGCCCTCTTAAATGTCATTACACAGCTCAAACATTGGTATATAAGCTTGATAACTTAGGTACTGGATAACCATTCCTTTACTGAAAATAGATCAAACGCAAAATATGTCCCCCTGTCCATACGGACTTTTTATTCTTTCAGCAGCATAAAGAGTGGACAATCCCGGCTGGAATAAACATGTGGCAGGATAATTCTGCTCCTGAGTGGTCGGCGGTAGTCAGACGGTTATCACTGTGGACTTTTGGCAATAACCTCCCGTTTTCCATTCATACCACCTCTTGTCACTTTTTCATTGGGTAGAATTTCATTGATCGCTGCCACCTCCCTGAATTGTTATAAATTGTTGTATAACAAAAGCAACGGGAGGCAGAAAGGATAGTTGGCAAATATTTTTCCAAATATATTGTCCCATCTGTGGCTTTAAAGTTATAAGAAGTAAATGATCTTGGGTATAAAAGTGTATATTCAGAAAATATTTCATGCTGTTTCGTACCAACGTCCGGAGGCTCGCTGCCCTAGAAGGGAATGCACAAGTAATTATTTGATTTGACTAGAGTGAACTGGACCATACTCAGAGGAGTTTGAAATATTAACATTCTCTTCAAAATGGTAGAGTTAACAAAACATAACAACGCATAATAGACTGCCAAAACTGGTCTGCTGCTTTCAGTTAGAAGATTTGGCACGTGAGTGGAACCCAAATGCACAGCATTTGGAAGATATCACATGAATTAGAAGATAATACATTTTAGACATGAAAAAATGTGAACGGGTCTTTGACACCAGGAAGTGTTTCACAGTCACATCCAAAGTACAAGCCTATGCTGGCCCGTCCTATTGGCTCAACCATGGAATGCAGCTTGAAGTAGCCAACAAAACATTGGACCACCTGAGAGAATCTTCAACATATTCTTCCTACTACCTGAATGTAGGTCATTTTGTGGGCCAGAAAAATTACAGTTTCAACTTCACACGGATTCAGTGGCTACGGGACCTTTGAGTGGTGTATTTACAAGAAGTAGTAACAAAGCTATCAAAATTATAACAATAGTATGATGAAAATCACAAGATCCGTAAATGACGCGAATTTTGGATCTGCAGAAAATTCATTGCATCAGTGAGCAATACAATTGTGTGCTTCTGATGAACACTCTGATTGAATGTTTTTAGTATTGTTGGACTCGGTCCCCAGTGGAATTATTAACCCTAAAATGGAATGTTCATCGATGAACATACGAGATGAATTGAGTGAGTGGGAATGCATTTAGTGATTGATTGTGTTGCTCAAATTGAATAAACATCCACCCCAACTAGTACTCAACAGTTCCAGGTAGCTCACATTGGAAGAAAGTCGACTGTGTTTAGGATGATGATCGTGGCGATAGTATTCATAAAAGGGATGCAGGTATACGTCATTTGTATGTGTATACATATATGTATATATATATACATATGTATATAATTTATATATATATATTATATATATATATATATATTGTATATATATATATATATAAATATATATATACTCATTTCCATCAGTGTTGTTTGGAGGATCTCAAACACACTCACGTTTACCAATACTGTGCTTCGTACGAACCATGGAAATTTGGGCTTTTGCTTTAGTTTGTCTTCTCTTTGTTCTACGAGAATCAGACTCCGAGGAATAACTGACATTAGATGAATTGAACCAGGGCATGTTGATTTGGCACAACGAGTTTAGGAAAAGAGTACTGAACTGTCAACTTGAAGGACAATCAAAAGCCGAGATGATGCCACATCTGGCGAGTTGAATTTCTGTCTTCTTATAATGTCTTTTGAACCACAAGTGACCACGTTATCGTCCCGACCGGTGATGGGTAAACGGTCAGAATAGTGGGCACTGAAAACTATGACCTCTACCTAGAGATTTGTTTCTGCCACCGGTATTTGACCTCAACATCGTTCCTGAAATACTATACCTATATTGCATATAAGAGGATTGGGATTGGAAATATTAGATAGATTGGTTTTGCGCTTTACTCCACTAGTGCGATACGAAAGCTACTGAAGAAATGAAGGGATTGGACTCATGCCTGATGACCAACGTTTGCAATTATGACATCCAAACAACATCCTTCGTCGATTGTGATGAACTAATTCTCACTCTATGTGCCCTGAATTGCATCCGATGGTGCATTTTAAATACAGGCAGTCAATCTGACTTGAAAGTTCAAAGAACATTTGTAAAACTGAGGGGGATTTACTTTGGTTATTCTCATCCATGATGGCATGCACTGGATTGACAAAAATAAAGCCAACGTGTTCATCGTACTATCCATGTTGCGGATACTAACCGATAAATATGCAATTCCTCAACGAACGGAACCTACACGGTTTTCAACAACAACACACGATTTACACGTATTCAGTATTGATACAAACTGAGTTTTCTTTATTTGACCAATGTAGCACAAGAACATTGCTAGGATACAAACACCTAAATGAGCATCCGGCTCATTGCTGGCTGGCAGAAAATCTCGTGTAATATTATCAACAGAACTGAAACCATCCTACAGAACCACCATTGCAGATGGTCAGTTATTGATTCAAACAGTAATTCCATCCAGATCTCACTAGGATCCGTTAGCAATGACGCGAGTCTAATTGTTCAAGTGAATATGATCTGAAATAAATTACTTATCCTATTTCGAAATGAATAAATTAGTATGTAGTCGAACTGAGTGTCTATCCAAACAACAATTTATTGATCCTGTGCAAACTGATGTAATCAGTTTTTTTATCTGTGAGTGAAAAAACTCATCAAGCTTCATTTTGCACCCAGTGATCAGTTTCGTAAGTGAGTCAGTTAATCACGAATACTCTAATTCAGCTCGTGTATCCGTTGGCATTCACAGACCGCGAATCAGCGTGTCACGATCAGGTGTTCAGGCGATCAGAATTGCAACGAATGGTGTGCTCACGCCGGAAGAAATTGGCTCACTTGCAGCAAAATGCCTATTACAGTCGAATATATCAATGAAATACCTGTCGGAGACTTAAAAAGCTTCCAAGTAACTTACCACTTGAGCCCCACATGCGGAAGTTATTTTTTCTCCACACGGATATATCTATGCAAACTAACGTCTGTCCCATAAAGTCGTTTGATGAAGATAGTGAAATTTCCGAAGGTATTACCACGAATCCGGGTGTGGACGTCATCCTGTGTCTCATTCGCATTGGTGAATTGTATGAATAATACGACGTGAAACAGTTTATTGCATTTTAAAGCTTCAAGTTGCATAATATTGTACCCGTATTGCCTTGGTTCGATATTGTGAGGTATACTTTGAAGAGTGGAATGCTTGAAAATATTTAAATGACATGTCATACACGAGGCAGATACAACTAATCAGGAAATGTTATATCAAAAGGAAAAATCTAACTTAAAAGAAACAGTTCTCACTTTCATATCTGCTTTGCGATTAGTATTGACCGAGTCATGATGATAAGGAATATTCAGGAGAGTTCATTCACCGACTGGGGGATTCATGGGTATGTTTTGCGGTTTACGATTTACGGAAAATGACTCCACAAAAATTGGTGAACAAAGGGAACAAACTTGCAAAACTGTTTCACATTGGTTTTCGCCAGCTCATAATATGTCTTTTGGAAGGAGATTCTCCCGCACATCCACTACCACATTCTCTGATTCTGAGGTATATTTCTGCATACAGCAGAATTTCTTTCATCATTTGGTCAAACGGAGTTTCTTCAATGTATACGGGCCATTCATGTTTCCCGTACACAAAAATATAGATTAGGAAAATAAAGGCCACCGGGTGTGGATGACGCCGAATAATAATAATAATGACTGAAGAATTCATGCCCTAGTTGCATGAGATCTGCGATGAAATATTTCTAAATAGAATGCGTGAAAATAGTTGATCTATTTGCCGCGAGAAGTTGAAAATGACATGATCAAGGGGACGGTTTTCTCAGGCAGGTCGGACTTTATTTTCGGTAGTTTCCACTGTCGTGGTCCCCTCTTCTACTGCTTTTGTATATTTGAGCTTCCATAGATCTTAATTATGGTTTAAAACATGGTAATGAAGCATTTTACTGCGTAAACAAGTAGTGTAATATCATTTGCGGGTTGAAGTTGTTCTTCCCATTATATTTCATTAGTTATCGTGATGAATTTGGGCAGTCATTTTCCGTTGGTTGCTAGGAATCATCTTACTCAGTGCAAGTGTGCCTTTTGTGAAATTTATTAGTGGGTTTATTCCTCCGACGAATGCCCCCAGATCATTGGCATTAGTTCATTCCGTTATCGAAAACAAATAGCCATTTGTAGTGGCAATGAAGCACGGCATCAGAAAACAGGAGTTGTCCCGATTCCGGTGAAAGGTATCAGAAAAAGACTGGGAAAATCAAGGATTGGAAGAGAAGTGAAGACCGCAGTTAGAAAATGAATAACAGCAAGCACCTCGGGCTAAGCAAATAAATTCATCGATAAGAACCGGTGAGCTTTCCATCTACCCATCCATCGAAAATCCCACCCACTGGTCAATAAATCCAACCATCCACCCATCTATCCGTCCGTCAAACCATCCATTCAAACACGTTTCAATCTATCCAACCATCCATCCATCCATCCATTAGTCCATCCATTTTTTTCATGCACCGTTCTATCCATGTCTTGATCTATTTTTCCATCCTTATTCTTCCTAACATGTCTTCTTCTCTATCCCTCTCTCCTCCCTTTTCTGCACTCCAGACATGTTTTCCAAATATCTCCCTGTCCTATTTTGCTCCATTTTTCTTTCACTTAGACTTGTTTCAAAGTATCATCCGTGCCTGATCATTATTTCCTCATTTTCATTCACATTTTTCACAAGGATCAGTATTTATCTTCTCACTTCTGTGCGGTGTGATTTCACCCTTTCTTCAACAAACGTAAATTCATTTTCTACTACTTTCCAGATGTCACTGGTCGCAGTTGTTGTTCCTCCTCGTGTCTTCACACACTTCCATTGCATCGTATTATCTCATGTCTAATGATTACAAATCTTTATAAAAGATCCAATTTTTGGGTTTCAGTGTGACTTCCATCTCCATTTACATCACAAACTTATGACATCAATGTCACTTACGCCGATGTATTCTCCCTTTCTCACTGATTTGTGAAACATCATCTCGTTGCACTGAGCTCAATGGAAAACAATGTTGTCCGTATTTTTTCCACACACTACTTTGTATCAAGTAAAATATATGAGCTTTATCAACCTGAACATGAGATGAAACTGAGCATCCGTTGAATTCGCGATCGCACTGGCAAGCAAACTTCATAGCGCGTTAATGATACCCAATTCGTATTTAATCGTATTTCGCTGTCTCCTTTAAGATGCACCACCGCGAATTTCAAAATGTGGCCTTTGTGGAATTCGAACAAAAACGATCTGGGTTATTTTCCCGTCACATGCAATCACTCACCTTTTGGAAAAGTTTGATTGAATGCGGTCCCCTTCTAAGTTGTTGCACACTGTTGTCTGATACATAGAAAAAAAGAATTAAAATTAGTATTCTGGGAGCATCACAACAATAAAGTAATTAACATAATGTTCAACTTTACTCAGCTGTGATCGTTATTGACGCTTAGACGGGTTGCAAGTCACCAAAAATGAAATGAGAAATGCGCAAGCATTGTAACTAGTGAAGAGTATTTCAATGCAAGTAAAGTAATGGCAATATATACGATCACGCCAGAAGGACAACGAGGACTAAGCATGAATATGAACAGAACATTTTCAGACATAAAGCTCATCAAAATGGAAATAACATGAAGTACTGCATCGAGCAAATTGTTAGAATTCGGGCACTGTAAGGAAATAACAGCGTTCTGGTCGATTTGCATCGATGAACTTCTCACACCGTTCGTTGCGTACTTGAGACGCAAGTCGCTCTCAATAAGATTGCAAAATTCGGTTTTGAGGTAAACAGAAGAAGAAAAAGAACAGGTGCATATACAAACTAATAAGAGTTTTGTCGAAAAAATCCCTTAGAACACATTTGGAAAACACAGGTTGGCGAACAACCTCGTTTTCGTTGATTCTTAATCATGTCAACACTAGATAAATAAGGGGTATAGTCAACAAAAATATAGTCTGAAATCACTGTGCACACCTAGTGTGGTACAGGATTATCCAGTGATCAGCTGTGAACATTCTCAGTGTGTAAGCCTACGGACGTTCTTGGACCTGACGTTCGGGTGGTGAGTGGGCCAGGGTAGAATGAGTTTATGAAGGAATTTCTTCTCAGCACACAAAGGAGGGTTTTGGAGGTGAATCCCGACCGCCTTCGCTGTGTTCAAAATGCGACTACTCGCCGATCTTGAAAGCCGACCTCGGATCTTGAACAGGGGGCTGAATGCTTGATCCACGTTCACTGTGAATAATCTCAGCTAGGTGTGAATCAACTGCAACGGTAACTGATCTAATTGTCCCAGTCCTCAATCACGCTAGGTGATGCTCATGGATGCGTTCAGACAAGCGTCTGATAGTGCAGCCGATATATGATGTTCCACAGGATAAGAGTTTATTCATTTATCCTACGTGTTATTGTTAATTAGGCTGATCACATCAGTATGTTTTTGATCAGAAAATCAGACAGCTCAATGGAGATGCACTGAGGTTGTCCTCAACTCAGTTGATCATGTATAGGCGAGGAACAAATCATGTCCGACCAATAATTTAGTGAATTGGAAGACACTTAACGACCTGATGTAAACCAAGCACCATCAATCAGCTGACTGTGTTATATTTATGGAATGGATTCAAATGGTTAACACCCCCATCGCAGATGGGCTTCTAGGTGAAGAATAGGGAGCACCCAATCTAATTGTGTTACGCTTATGATCAAATGGACTCCAATAAGAACCAATGACGGAATCGGAACCATGAAAGTACTATGAAAGTAAATTTAGGTGAAGTAAACAAGAACGAGAATTTCGAAAACATCTGTCAAGGAAGTTGAACCGAGAAACCTTTGTAACCTGTCTGAACAAAAAAAGAAACAAGCCAATCGGGTAATGAACCAATAAAACCACAATTGATCGCTGTAACTGGACAGCTTGATAATGCGAATAAAATCGGTTTTTCATCCCATATTGTAAAAGACAAGACTCACCTGGACGGTTCTCAATATCAACGATCTCTTTCCACAGAGACAGAAGCTTTGCCAGTTCAATGTGATCAGCCGGATGCCAAAACAAGTACGGGTTTCGCAAGTGGAACGAGTTTTTCCTAAAGTTTGCTGCGGCAATCCGTTTACATCCTTTAGCCTATTTTTATGAAATACACTTTACCGTATTTTGCGCCGTTACCAGATATAATATGCATAATACAAAGGAAATGCATAAGTAAGTAAAACTTGAGAACAAACATTACACTCGCATCAAGTGGTGTTGAAGCTCGAGGACAATGACCCTTTTAATCTGTTTGCATGTGGCGAATATATATGCCTTGAAAAGAAGACGAAACGATATCTTGTCAAAACAAATTACCCGCAACTATGGCGGAACTTAAACCTACGAGGAAAAGACGGACAACATTATTTACATCGAATTATTGCAAAACATTATTAGGAACACAATGTTCATATACATTATTAGGCATTTTGGTCTACCTGCATCACTCAGGGCTTTGCACAGTTTCGTCACCATGGAATTCACTGTATGCCAAACACTCACGTGAGAAACAAACCAATCCCCAAAGTGACAGGCCTCGTGATTTGAATCCACCGATGGAATCAGTGCGTGCCTTCATTTGTGGGGGTTGCGATTCAGTCTTCATACTTTGTGATACTGGTTGCATTGTGGATTTCAGTTCCTTTATATCCAATAAAGAGCGAGGGCGCCTCGAACTATTTGCACGCTGGATTAGGGACAAAGATTTTCGGTACCACTTTAGCGCAAAATGCACAGAGCATTCTTATCTATTCGATGTTCTGAGTCTTCCAACTGTGAAATGTGTACTTGGCGTAGTTTTTCTGTGAGTAATCTGATAACGGATGCTTATATTCGGGTTCCTCTGTGGTAAAAATATTGCGTTTCTTTTTGTACTGCGAATCAGGTAGGGCACATTCAAGTGTTTGATAAGTAATAAGTAGTTTATAATGTGTGTTACCTAAAAGGCACATTGAAGGCCCACCGGAAACAACTGAAACTTTCAGACAACAAATTGAGCACAACAACAGACTTTTGATCATCTTTTGAAATTCACAGGGAATCAGTGTCCGACGCACTTTCTTACATAGATTTTATACCAAAAGAAACATTGAGCAGACTTGGTTTCCCTAGTTTAACCGATGGTTACGGCTGAAATGGACTAAGATATCGATCGCCCCTAAGAAAGTCCTACTTGTCATGGAGTGCAACTTTATTAGATCTGTCCTTGTGCGACCTCAGTTTTCGGAGGGGACATGACTTAACTCACTACCCCGTGATCAGAATAGTAGCGGGATGTCTTAAAATGAAGTCAGGTGTAAAAAAAGAGGAACGCTTCGCAATAGAAGCACAGCGTTCATGATTGTCTGACACGCTAATGAAGTTGAACAAAAATGAAACTCATGAAATGAAATGAAATGAATGAAACGAAAACATTGTATTTCGAGCAACTTACAGGGCTCAGCTACTGAACCGGTTCCAGTAGTGGGCGCTTCATAAGTGTTCACCAATTTCATGTGTGAAGTCACCAATCCAAGGTCTATGAACTCTGTCCTAACACCAGCATACATGTATTTGCATGACAATAAAACCTTAGTTTTACTTCTTCATAAGTCGCATTCGCAAAGTGTGTTTGTTACTCATATACTTAAAGAATTCAGGATAATAATTATCGCGATAAAGCCTTTCTTTTCTGTGAACTTATTCGAACAACGTATATGCGTCATTCTACGCATAATCGTTTCCAGAAAGTATCGCAGATTACAGACAACCGTGACTGGGGAGACTGAACTGTCACTGCTGTATTATGGAAGTAATCGTTCCCCAAAGTATTCAAGGTCTATTGTCTTGTAAATACAAATAATTACGACCTGTTATTCTCCAGTAGCCCCTGTAACCTGGTACCCACCGAATACCGAGAATAGCGCAGGGCTCGGGTGCCAATACGAGCTGAACAAAAATTCATGGCTCCTTGGGCTTGTACGACAATTGTCCCTGAGATCGTCGTGTGGTAATGTGCTAATGTGCTTACGCAAACAAAAATTCATAAGTGAGAACCTCTCCGAAGTACTGAGTAACTTGTAGCACAACAATTTGAAATGTCAATAAATTTCTTCACCAATGAACTTACAAAACGCAGACTAAATTCGTATTTTCTAACAGTACTTCTTAGTAGAGCAGCTTCTTATGATACTCATGATGTTTCATTTTGTCCGCTGATGTAACGGAGGCTGAGGCATCAACTAATTAGTTTTTATCAAGCCATTTCACAGTGGATTTTTTCCTTCAGTCAGCAGCCCAGCACTATGAATTTGTTCGCCAATATCACCAAGGTATTGCGAATGTATTCACTCTGTGATTTTGGTGTGATACAGCCTTCGGACAGCTGAATATGGACAGGAGAAGGCTTCGAGGTATCATGAAATAAAGCAAACATTGCGTAAACACGAATAACTGACAATCAGAAAGCAAATGACAATTTTTAACGTTAAACACAATACGAAATAGAACCGAAACATTGTCCCTTTTTCACTTCATATAATTTATAATTAAATAAATACTCTTTTACCTAGTACGATACGGTCGATTTCTGCTCCGTGACATCTCTTTAGGCAGCCATTTGCTTTTTTTTTTATAAAATATTCCGCTATCGCAAACTGGAGATAAAAAGGAATTTCAATGAATTGTTAGTTTGAAAACTTTATTTTTGAATTCCTCGAATATTGCCCAAGTTGTTTACAATGTGGCTGGACGTGTGCGCTCTCCCAGTAGACACACAATATAGACCATCTGCACATCTCTGTGTTATTACACAATGTGCTTTAAATCGTTCATCTAGGAGGTGTACAATAACGACATTTGGCTGCAGCATAGATGAGAAAAGGGTGAATGTAGAGCAAAATGTCGATGTAACGAATGTGAGTATATGGGCTGACTCATCGTCGATAGACAGCCAAGTGTCTTCCGCAGTCTGCACATCACCGTCTGTCCAGAGTCTAGATCAGTGCTTAAGCCAACGGATGCGTAAGCGATAAGGCAGCTGATCGATAAGACGAGAACAGATTCTCGTCAAATGGAGCAAGCCGTATCACAAAGAAATCATTCAGAAGAGAGATTACCGATGCAAGTTTGGACCAATTAGTTCGATTGGTGAATGAATATATCTTTCTACATAAACAATATGTTCTCAGCTAATAAACCGCTTGATTCGAAGGCAGAAAAGTTCTCCCACCAGAGTAAGTGAGGCGGGACTGAACAATTAAGTGCTACATTTTTTGTGTAACCAAAGCGTTTTATGATACAGACAGTTCAATACGTTCAACAATGCCTATGACACTAAAGCTTTAAGAACTGATGCAGAACCGTCTGTGTCAGCGTGAGTTTATAAACAAGCATGCAGTGTGCAAGAGAACCCTATTTTTAACAGTTTACTGTAATCTGGGGAAACCATTCCATCGAGGTTTGTAATGAAGTAATGTCGAAAGGATTAGGAAAATCATTTTGCCTTGTTTTGGGGAAATCAAGCTGACGACCTCCACTGGAATATACACTGCACTTCGTCCCTGCCAAGTTTCTGTTGAACATCTCTGTCTATTCTCAGGGTAAGTGTGTGGCATTCTGAAAGTGTTTCCCTCAGTTTCGCAGTGGAATATGGACATACCCCAATCTACCTAGCGTTCCAGGTTACGTGAGGCCATTGCGCTTTGTCGTTCTGGTCCAGTACGGCTAAAGATGTCATCTTCCGTTTAATAGATTATGACCTGTGAAACCATGTTTTCAAGTTCTGAACACAGGGGCTATTGTGAAAGAATAATATTGATATTGTTATTATTCAGTTGAGAGTGTCATATTTTTCCAGCAACATACAAGCAACTAAGAGTTCGCGAACGATGCTTGTGGCCGTAAAACGAACGTGGATTTGCGTCTTGCAGGCGTATTCAGTCACTTGCATACAGACACTTTCGCTTACCTGTATCTCACGGTACGACTGTTATGTCTTTCTCTAGTAAACTGATACACAGATTCGCCACGTCGCAGTGTTATTCACAGAAATATAGTCGGCGTTTTAAAACGGACTGCGCAAGTCAAGCGGCAATACACATCATACGTTGGAACGTTGAAACTGATCGTTGCTGGCTGTTTATTTAGTGAGTAGACGTTCATTGTATTCATGACTAGCCGTGGGATTAGTGACCATTCACTCGCGTTTGAGGCCTAAGGATAAAGTCAGTAGAATTCAACTCTTCTATTCCGAAACCAAAACGCCGTCCAAAAAGGCGGAAGCCTTTTGTCCTAATGGTGTCAAACCTTATATACAACCGATCCTAGATTTACTTGAAACATTTTGATGTGAAAATGCAGCAGCTAGTTTGATGTATTGGCTGCGTTGAATAAATCAAACAGGAAAGGACAGGTTGCTAGGTTGTACCCACCAAATATTATAACGGGAAGTTGTTAAATTTGTAGCCTACATAACTGGCGTCCGATGGGAAAATACTTATTGCGAAAGGTCAGATAGTGCATTGTGCATAAAATTATTCAGTGATGAAATAAAACACTGACTGATCATTCTGTCTGGAAATAGCTAAGTTGTACGTGATGAGTCTGATGGTGGTAAATAAACTACAGTGAGTAGAACTTGGACGATTTTACCTCCATAAACATTATATATATATATATATATATATATATATATATATATATATATTATATATATATATATATATATATATATATATATATGATGTCTCTTCTGTGCATGAATCACGTTACGGTACGAAGATGGTTACCTCTTCAATCGGTGCATAGGATCGGCTGTCCGTTGTTATCAAAACCTGACCTCTCAAGATGATTGAATCCACTGAATTCTGATCGATACGAAAGTAGTGGACGGTACTCAGAATTTCCTTGTCAAAGATGAAGTGAGGCACATGAACTTGTGCATTTTTGCCTGTGTTGGCTCCGAGATATTATGAACCATTGTATCTTCCATATCCTAA